TTCAATAAGTCAATAATATAATAATAGGTCTGGCCGAATCAAGGGATTAACTTTTTTCCCTAATTCGAACCAGCCTTTCTCTCTTTTCTCTCTTCTCTCTTTTCTTCTTTCCTCTCCTACTTCTTGCTGTCTACTTTACTCTACAGTCAACGAACAAGACAGAATTCTATGGCAGGTCAAACTTCAACAGATAGAACAGCTCATTAGAAGGTTGCAAGCTGTAATGTCTGAAGTAAACAAGCTGTTATCTGGGATTTCCATTTTAGCCAATGATTTGGTGCCGATCTGCTAGTTTGCTGAGCTAATCTCTTTATGATTCATATGAAGATAAATTTTATGATTCTTTTGACCAGTAACATCTAAAATTTTATATTTGTTGCTCAATCTAATGCCTGCTGTCCCATTCACAATAGTATGTTTCTTCTATTTTCTTGGCTTTTTCTTGTTTCTTTCCATCATCTAGTTTTATCTTTACTAATACAGTGAAACTAATGTATGCAAATATATACAAGGTTGAAAATTGTCATATCTATGTGTCATTTACATTCCTTGTTTCCTTGTTCCCTTGTTCACTTCATTATTCTTGTTTAACTCCATTCCCTCTTCTATTTTCATAATGCAACTATTTTTGTTTTTAACTGATATATTGGGAGCAGGAGCCATTTGATGTTTCTTCAGTAGACAATATGAGAAGACTTGTAGAACATTCAGGTGTTCCAGGTCACTTCTTTCCTTTAGCACTGATATGCCATGACTTGTTGCCCCCACCACCCAAGGTCACTTCTTTGACTTGTTCTGTTACAGTTTTTATTTTGAGTTTCTGTTTTTTTCTTCAATTTAATTAAAACACAATCTCTTTCCCTAGGTAGAAAAAGAAATCGGAGAGCAGAGAGTGATTTCATTTCATGGAGTTGGATTATCAGTAGCCCCAGAAATTAACTTCAGTCAAATTGCTGCCTGCCATGAAAACCCTGAAAAGGTTTGCTCGATGTCTTATCTGTGTTTTTTTGGTAGATTTATCTGCATGGGTTACAACCATGAATTCTTGAAGTATCTTATTGAGCTTTATGTTTGATTGGCTCCTTTTGGTTTGCTATGAATCCTGCATTCCATTGAATTAGCAACAGTCAAAATTGGTTAGGTAAAACCTGATATCTATAACAATCCTCACATTCCACAAATATGGTTCTGTTAGATCTAGTACACTCTGGATGCAATCTGAAGTCGCGACATAGTTGTCAAGGTGACTAGGTGATAAGGTGCCCATGGAGGGTTGCCTTGCTTAATTGCCTAACTTTTTTACATATTGGTCTTGGATACTTTTATATTCTTAACTTTTTGAGATTATAATAAATAATATAGGCATTATTAAACTAAATTATTCAGTTTTAAGTTCCAATACTAGTTTCTTTTCATTATTTTTTTTTTCATTTGTTAGGGTTCAATCAACATCTATTTTGCCTTGAACTCTCAAAGACTTACAAAACTTGATCTGATAAGCATGGGAGCACTCAAAATTTTATCCAATCAACACATGTTGATTATTTTTCATCATCATCTTCAGGACAAAAATAGAGACTAAGCCCCTCTATTTTCTGAATTTTCTCTTTTTCTTCCATTTTCATGATTATGTTGATCTGTATATTTCAAATGAAACACATGCATTTTTTAGGAAGATTGTAGACAATTAATAGTGGAAGATAGTTGCCAATTGCTATGTAACCTAAGAAATTACCCTATGATTCATTTTCTATTAAAACAAAAGTCATCACCTAGATGACTTGGTGACAATTAATAGTGAAAGATGTGTTTTATTAAAAAACCCATCACCTAGCCTCAGCTTGATGCCTTGAAAACTATGCATGTACGGCCCACTGTCATACTTTGATAATCAAGAAATAAATGTATTAAAACACAGATATGCTATAATCAAACGAAAAAACAATCCAATGAGTGCATCCTATTGTTGCTACCCCAAAAGACACACCAACAACCTGCTAACATATGAAAAAATAGAGATTTCCTCTAGGGTTCACTACCTTACTATGACAATTTAGAAATATCAAGGTAGGTAGCCTAACATGTTGAGCAATTAGTTTAAACGACCATGACACTCTCATGCAACCCTCCAATAAAACATTGTTTTCTTGGTAGAAAAGTTGCTGAATAGAAGAGAGAAGGAAGAGAAGAGAGGAAGAGAGAAGAGAGGATTTGGAGTCAAAAAGATGGGCTGGTGGCGCCAACATTTCTATTTATATTAGGGCAACAAAATAAAAGAGGGAAAAATACAACAGTGCCCTGGTAGTTGACTACTAGGAAATCTCTTCATCTAGTAGCCGACTACTAGGAGCAGTCTTTGTCTAGTAGTCGACTAGTAGAAGCAGTATATTGTTAGTTATTGACTACTAGCAACAGAGTACATTATTTCAACACTCCTCCTCAAGTTAGGACATAGATGTCAATCATAATGTTTAGTAGGGGTGCAAGCCGGGCAGGTTGGGCCGGGTTTATGGTCAACCCAGGCTTGACCCTAAAACTTGGGCTTAAGGCCCGAGTCCATCCCACACTTTAATTTGATGCACTCGGGTTGGACTTGGGCCCAGGTCGGGCTCGGGTTGGTCAATGAACCCACTCTAAAATTTTACAAATATAAATGTATTTATGCAAATATATATACATATATTTATGTATATATGTAAATATGTATGCAAATGTTATATATACAAATATGTATGTATCTATATGTAAATATGTATGCAACATTTACATATATACATATATGTATGTATAAATGTATATAGTTGGGCCGGGTTTGGGCTAGGCTCGAGCCTGACCCAAAAAATAAAAAAGCCCGACTTCTTGGGCTTGAGCCCAGCTCGAAGACCGAAAATCCAAGCCCAGCCTGTGTAAAATTTCGGGCTGGGCCCGCCCAAGTTGCACTCCTAATGTTTAGAAAACCAGATCAGATCAGCCAGTCGGGCTGGTTGAACTGTGATCTGGGACCTTGGCCAGTTTGGTCATACCCTAATAATCAAACTTGATAAAAAACCAGTTGATTGGCTTGTTTAACCGGAAAATCGGTGTACCAAATCCCGGTTTTGTGAAACCGCCCGGGTCCTTAACAATTGAAATTTTAAAATGTGTATAGCAAGACTTGAACCCATGACCTCTAATTTCTATATATTACTTAATTACCATTAGTCCACCTCTTTACTTATGTTAATTAATGACTCTTTATTTTACATATTACTTTATTATGCACATTTTTTAAAGAAAATGTAAACTAAGGAAGTTGCCATTTGTCTATCATATTTAAATATATTAAAAGTTGTAAAATATTATATATAGTATTTATATGACCCGTAGTATATACATGTATATGTCACATCATCACAGTTCGACCTTGGTTGAACCTTTGACCTGTAAACCTCTCCCTTCTCCAATTCTATGCCTGGTCTGGTTTTCTAAACATTGGTCAATAATGCCCAACTTATCACATAGATCATTATACTGTAAGTGATGTAAACCCTAATGCTATGTTTGGTTTGAAGGAAAAGGTAGGGAAAGGAAGGGAAATGTAGGGAAACCAATACAAGGTTTGTAAAGGCTTTCTTACCTTTCCCTTCCTTTCCCTACTTTTTCCTTAAAAACCAAACACAACCTAAGTGGAGATGTTTGTAAGCTGCTCTTTAGAACTAATATATGGTGTACATACTTTTCCATTAACAAGTTTCTCCCTGATAAAGTGCTTATCTACCTCAATACCGGGCTAAGTCCTATCATGAAGAACAAGATTAGCTACAATGTTGATAGCTGCCTTGTTATCACAATATAAGAACATGGGATTATCCATAGTAAAACCTAGTTCTCCCAACAATTTCTTAATCCACATGATCTCATCCACTCTATGAGACATAGCACGGTATTCAGCTTTAACACTAGACTTGGCCACAACACTTTGTTTCTTGCTTCTTCATGTAACTGGGTTCCCTCCTACAAAGGTACAATAACCACTGGTGGATTTTGTCATCAATAGATCCAACCCAATCTGCATCTGTATATATCTTAACCTTTAAATGCCCATGTTTCTGGAATAACAGCCCAACACTTGGAAATTTCTTAAGATATCTGAGGACCCTCTTAGCAACTTCCAAGTGAACAGCCTTGGGAGCATGCATGAACTGGCTAAGAACTGCTACAGCTAGACCTGTTCATGGGCCGGGTAGCCCACTCGTCCTAAGTCGAGCTTGCACAAAATTTTAAGCTCGTGGGCTCAAGCTTTCCCAAATAAGCCTAACTTGATAATATTAAATATATAATAGAAATATGATATATATAACTTTACAATATATATAATATAGATATTATATAATAGTACAATTAATAGCAAAAAACATTATATATTAAATGTATAAAATATTATACATTATATAATATATTATTAATAATATATAATTAATATATTACAAAATGCATGTCAAAGTCGGGCTTCAGGCTTGGGCCTGGGCTTCGCGCATTATATAGGGTTAGGTTCGAGCTCAAGATCTAGGCCCAATAGTCGGGTTGGGCTCAGCCTCAGGCCTGATGATTTTTTGTTTATAAAGAGGCAAAGCCTGGCCTAGTCCGACCCATGAATAGGTCCGTCTACCTACAGCATAAGCAATATCTAGGTGTGTCATGGATAGATACAAGAATCCTCCCACTAGTCTCTGAAATTGCTTCACAACTTTGATTGTTTCACCTTGATAATCACCTAACTTATGGTTTGGATCAATAGGAGAGTTAGCTGGTGTCACCCCTTGCTTGCTAAAATCTTGCAACAAATCTATGATGTATTTCCTTTGGGAAATGAAGATACCCTTTTGTAAATGAGCAACTTCAATCCCAAGAAAATACTGTAAGGGACCTAGATCTTTCAACTCAATTTGAGTAGTAAGAAACTTCTTTAACTTCTAAGTTTTAGTTTCCCAATCACTAGTGATCACTATGTTGTCAACATATACTATTAGAGCTGCAATCTTTCCTTCCCCTCTCTTCCCGAACATGGTGTGATCAGATTGGCATTGCTTGTAGCCAATCTGTTGTATTGCTAAATGAAACCTACTAAACTAGGCTCTTGGTGATTGCTTTTGGCCATATAAGGACTTCTTCAATTTGCACACTTTTTGTTCATTGCCTTGAGCATGGAAGCCGAGAGGTTGTACCATGTACACCTCTTTTTCAAGATCACCATTAAGAAATGCATTTTTTATATCCAGCTGGTGAAGCTCCCAATCAAGATTAGCAGCAAGGGAGAAAAGGACCTTGATAGAGTTCATCTTCGCCACTTTAGCAAATGTTTCTGCATAGTCCACTCCATACACCTAAGTAAATTATTTTGCTACTAACCGAGCTTTACTACCATCAACTCTATGCTTTTACTGTGAAAACCCACTTACATTCTATTGGTTCTTTTCCTAGATCTACCAATTCCCATGTGCCATTTTTGTGTAAGGCATTGATTTCTTCTTTCATTGCATCTATCCGTTTAGGAACTAAGAGGGCTTCTGCCACACTTTTGGAAATAGGAACACTGTCAATAGAGGAGAGGAAAAGGACGCATCCATGGAAACATAGAATTTCAAAAAGGGTCACTTTCAAAAGGATGCATCCATGGAAACATAGTATTTCTTGGAGACTAGATCAAATCCCGATAACCTTTTGGGAAGAGGGATACCCTAAGAAATCTGGTGCAAACATATCCATTAAAAAGTGCAACCTTTGTGTTGGGAAGTGCTCCTTGGGAAGATCAACACCTGTGACTTGCTACAAGAAAGATGGCCAAATAAGTGCCTTTCTCCTCGGGTGTATCCTTTGCAAGTGGTGAGATCCCTACTCATTTATTGGTTACCTGCACTTTTGTGTCTTGTGTATGGAAATCCGTTTGTTCTCTTTTTTGTTGTAGATGGGAATCCCCGTAGGATGTGGTAGGCCTGTTCA